TACAGTACTAGTACGCTAAATCCAAAGTAGACTACGTTTTGAGGGCAGGACTATACTTGTCTCCGAGTAATATGGAACTTCAGATTGGCCAAGTGATAGCTTATAATAATAAAATTGTGGTTGCTACCAATTAACAAAAACCAGATATATAACAGATATTAACACCGAATTAATGACACAAACAAACACAGGCGAAACAGGATTAGTCAAGCCACAGTCATCTTCAAAAACCACAGGTTTCACAGCCACAAGTTGTAAAACCACATATTGCCACTCAAAATCAACAACATATCGATGAAAAACAGTGCTTATAGTAGGTGGAGTCACTGCCGGTTTACTCAAGATTTGGATAAATAGTCTATAGCAGATATGTACAACAGCCCGGCAATTGCTACGATCACAGCCCACTAAGCCATGGCCAAGTGGCGGTCTAGGCTAATAAATTCTAGAGCCAGGATACATTACTCCCTATTATACCGGGAAGTGCAGACACGGCTTTCCCTCAAGCTTTCCTAGTGCTTCTCCTAATGCCTTTAAATGCTTTTTTATCCACTCTTTTACACCATTTTTATCACAAGGTGGTGTACATGTAAGTGTACCACTGCCACCTCCAGTTAAAGCAAGAGTCAAAGTTAATATACTGGTATTGGTTATCCCCTGTTCTCTGAACAATGTTTTAATTTTTTCAGCCAGTGTAGTATCATCGTTGGGGACTTGATCAATAGTTTCTCGAATTCGACTGATTTGTGAACGAAGTGCCTCTCTATTAGTGGAAGCTGCTTCGAGTCGGGCTGATCTTTTGTCTTCTAAGTTACGCAGTTTTTCCACAACACAGTGTCTACTGATTATCTTGAACTGCATAGATCCTATCAGGATATCCCAGGTCAGGAAGGTGAGCCAACAGCATGGTTAACTCCCATAGGTTGGACCTGTGTTGGAAGAATACCAGGATTACGTGATTGTCAGAATTCGGGCACCTACTTCACTGACAGGAGGCAAGTTGAATTAAGTTCAATATTACAGTAATTCTGGGAAGATGATGATGAAGTTCCATCTTCGACATCTATCCTCACCAAGGATGATGAATCTGTCATTGAATCTGTGAAAGATACAATTAGATGCCAGAATGGTTGGTATCAAATTGGCATTCCATGGAAGGAAAATGTTACCGGACAGTTGGGAAATAGCTTACAAACGTCTCTGCAGCACAGAGAAGAAATTATCAAAAGACAAACAGGTTGCTGATATTTATGATGGTATCATATCTCAGTATCTTGAGAAAGGTCACATTGAAAAGGTGTCCATTGATGAAACAGAAGTACCTTGTGGATGGTACTTACCTCATTTTCCCGTAGTGCGTCCAGATAGGGCAACTACAAAGGTTCGCATTGTCTTTGATGCATCAGCAAAATATGGAGGTGTATCATTAAATGACAGTATTCACCAAAGTTCCAAAGTTACAAGGTGACCTATTTCAGATATTGCTTAGGTTTAGAAGGTACTCGGTAGCCATAGTATGTGACATTGCAGAAATGTATCTTCAGATGGAAATGTTGCCAAAAGACAGGTCATTCTTTCGATTTCTTTGGAGGTCAAACCATCAGTTTACCAATTCTCAAGAGTAGTCTTTGGTGTTAATGCCTCTCCGTTTTTGGCACAGTACATATCACAAGAACATGCTAGAAGGTTTCAAGATACTCTACCAAAACCTGCTGAGACTGTGTTAAAGTCGACCTATATGGATGACAACATTGACTCACTTCCAAATGAGTTCGAAGCCATAGAGCTGTATGAACAGCTTACAGAGTTATGGGGGAAGGCAGGCATGTGTGCAAGAAAGTGGTTAAGTAATTCACCTGAAGTCTTACAGAAAATTCCCTTTGAAAATAGGGCTACTGAGGTTGATCTTGGTAGGGATGAGTTGCCAACTGCAAAAACACTTGGTCTGATGTGGGTTGCTAAAGATGACGAGTTTAGCTTCCGTAGTACTAGTACACACAACAGTTGGATACTTACAAAGAGAGGTTTTCTTAGAGAAATGGCTAGGGTATTCGATCCGTTAGGATTCCTTGCTCCTTTCATCATCAAAGCAAAAATCATCATGCAGGAAGTCTGCCTCAAGGGTTTAGTTTGGGATGAAGAGCTTCAATATGATTTGAAACAGAAAGCATTGCTTTGGCTCAATCAAATGAAAGGGTTGGAGACTGTTAGATTCCGGAGAAGCTTGCAACTCAACTTCAACATTGAGAACAGGAGATTGCATGTTTTCGTTGTTGCATTAGAAAGTGAATATGGGGCAGCTGTATACAACATGACTGCCTATCAAAGTGGGACAGTGTCTAGATGTTTGGTGGCATCAAAATGTCGAGTAGCACCTCTAAAATCAGTCAGCATTCATCGAATGGAGTTCATGGCAGCAGTATTAGGAGTTAAACTGACCTTGACTGAAGTCAAAGTTCTTGAAATGAATATTGCTGGTGTGATTCTTTGGTCAGATAGTCAAAATGTGCCGTGTTGGATAAAAAACCATAGCCGCAAATTCAAAACGTTTGTAGCTAACCGGATATCATTTATCCAAGAAAACACTATTCCTAGTCTATGGAACAACGTTCCTTCTTTTCAAAATCCAGCAGATATCCTATCTAGGGGTACAACAGTTGCTAATTTGAACAAAGCATGGACCTCTGGACCAGACTTTCTAGAACAAGATGTAACTGAATGGCCTTTGCAGACATTGGTCACCCAAACATGATTCTGAAGCCAAGAAACCTGTTATATTGACAAAGCAGTTCTTTACAATGGTAACACCCGACTGGTGTTTGAGACTAGATCTGAGAAGACACTCAGATTGGCAAAAACTACTTAGGATTACAGCATGGGTTTATAGATTTGTGAACAAAAGTCGTTCTGAATTAAGTTTGATAATCACTGGGGGACTAAGTCACGAGGAGCTTATTGATGCACAGATGTATCATTTAGGTCATGCACAAAAGGAGGATTTCACTAAGGAGGTATCGGCACTTGAATGTGGGAAACAATTGTCGTCAAGCAGTAAACTCAGTGGACTTGATCCCATACTTGATGAAGATGGGTTGATTAGATGTGGAGGTAGACTGCAGTATGCAAATTTTCTCCCATTTGATGGCCGGTTCCTGATAGTATTGCCCAGAAAAAATTGGGTACCAAAGCTAATCGCGAAGAAATATCATGAAGATGGAAAGCACATCCTTGGTACAAACCAGATCCTTGCTCTACTATCTTCACGTTACTGGATCGTTTCAGCTCGTGAAGAGATCCGTGAATATGAAAAGGAATCTTCTTGGTGTTGCAGATTTTTTACGAAGCCTGGGTACCATTTCACAAAGCAGTCGTAAATTTACACGCTCGTAGATTTTACGCAATATTTGCGCAATGTTTACGACATAGTCTAAGACTGTTTCACAAAGCTACACTAAAACTGGCGTAACCTCGGCCTACTTACACGCACGTAAAAAATACGATTGGAGATCTTTCCCTTTGTGAGGTAGGAAAATCCGCACTAGAGTTGTCTACCGTGGAAGGTGCTCTGAGCAGACGACAAAGCGCAGTAAAATGGAGGACATTTGCGACAAGAAATCAAGAAAGAGAAACTTTTCGGCCACAGAAGTTGAAATTCTTACTGAAGAAGTTGGCAGCAATTCTGATGTGATGTTTTCATCTTTTTCTTCTTGCATCACCAACAATCGGAAGAAGAAGATATGGGACGTTATTCTGACAAAGTGAGTGCATTTCACGGCATTGAACCCACATCTGTCATATGAAGAATGTGTTTTATTTGGAAGTGATAGACCTATGCCATTTAGAGTTATCGCGCTTGTTGTTAAGCGGAAGTAAACAAATAGCGATAAAAGGTGACTGTAGATCTACTTGAACTTGCAAGAGGCCTATATTTCTTTGAGTGCGATATTTGAAAAGGTGGGAATTATTGTTACTGCTAGGGATACAGATCTGAAATATTGTGTATAAGTGCATATACATGTATGCACACATATAAGAGGTCGCGGAAGTATCACTATTCTCACATTATGAAACAAGTTGCATATAGACTAAACGTAAATTTCCTAAATGTCCGGCTCAGTGATGAGGAACAAAAAACGCCAGAATCACTTATTTTTAAACATCCGCATATTTAATTGTAGACAACAACAAGGCAATTGTCAAACATGGGTGACATCAAGCAAAGCATATTATTTAATTTTGAAATAAGTTTTGTTTACAGGATCAACACCAATAACACGGAGGTAAGGACTGTGCCTCAGCTGAAAAAGAAATGGCAGGACCTCAGGGCTGCAGCCAAGAAGAAGGAGGTGATAAGGAGGAAGGAGATTGTGAGAACTGGTGGAGGTGGCCCTCCTACACAACTCACTACTGTTGAACAGAAGGTATGAAACACAACAGGAAGAATATGTCAGATTATATGTAATAGTCTAATTGCCCAAATGCATGACATATGGATTATGCATGAAGATATGGATTGGGCCAGAAAATGTGATATGATACCTAGACAAACAAATGTTACCTCTCTTAGTTATTTGTGTTATATATAATGATATAACAGACTTGTAAAAAGCTTAAATTGACTTGATTCCTACTGGCATAGGGGAAATATTTATGTAAAATACTGATACCATTTAGTTATTTACTTGTTTCATATTTCATGAAGTACTTGTTTCATATTTCATGAAGTAACTGTGTTCTTCATTTCTTTAATTATAGATTGTGAGTTTGATTCCTCCTTGCCAGATTGAAGGAATTGCTGGAGGATTTGATTCGAGAGGTAAATATTTCCACGCCATTCCTCTTCACAGTGCTGATTTAAGAATAGTGACTCTGGTTCACAAACCATATAAATGTTTTTTTTCATTATCTTCATGGCATAGTCAACTCATTTATATGCTCCCAGATAAGCAAATTTACATAAGTCATCATTCATGTGTTGAACCATTTATATTTCAAGTTGATGGGTCTTTTCTGGACTATGCTTTGGAGGCTGATCCTGATATGAGCACAGCAGCAATGGCTACATCTTCATTAATCGGTGACTTTAATGGTAGGCATTAATTAAAAATAATACACAAATATAAATTTTTGGAATGTTTGTGACCTTATGTATTAACTAAGTTGAGATAAAGCATAATAATAACTATTGCAAACATAAAAAGAAAATCATTATTAGACCAGTTGATGTTTTAGTTATTTAGTCCTATCAAAACAGATACTCAACTGTGATATTCATAGTCACATTGATTTTCTGAAAGATATATATAGATCAAACAAATTTCAAACAAACCCATTTGTTTGATGATATGCTAAATACTGACATGGACAGGTCATAAAACTTGTGTACATGTGACAGCTTCAAAATGCTTTAATTATTTTGGTGGGAGATACAAATGTTATCCACACAAATTGAGTTACTTTTGATGATGCACTGCATTATTTGTCTTTTTTTCATAGACACAGTCACTTGCAACACAACAGAAGCAATGTGTATCACTCCAACAGGGACAGGAACTGCAATTATGATGGAAGGTATTGATCTTCTACCAATAAATCACATCATATTATAATAAAATACATATAGTTATTAATAACTTGGCATCATCACAGTCATTGTACTCCAATATCAGAGACATTTGTCAGTTTTGAACAATGTACTGCACAAAATATATTATAAATGTGCTCAAACATTTTAATTTCAGACATCACAGCTAGAAAGGCACAAGGTGAACCAGGTAAAGATTTATGCAACATTTAGTCACACATTTTTATCAGTTTATCAATATGTGAACAGAACAAAGTTACAATTACCTCTTATTAAATTATAAGTGCAATCAGCGACTTCTGCAACATGTCAGAAGCTCGAACCTGGGAACATTGTGTTCAGTATAGAAAGATCAGGTAATACTTATCCATATAACACAATACATTTCTTGATGCTCTGGGTCAAGTTGGGGCTTGTTGGCACTGTTAGTCACATTGAAATTGATTAATGATTTTCTTTATAATGAATGTAGGAATTTATCCAGGATTCCAAATTAAGTGCCCTTCGCAGTCAAATTGAATGCAATATTAATGTAAAAACAGACATTAAAATATCTTCCTCTTCATCGGTCCTGTTGTCAGGGTTAAGTCAAGTTATGAGTTTGTTAACATGCATGGAGGATTTGTTTTATTTAAATAAAATATTTTAATTTTACATTTGCTGCATAATTGTGGCTGAATATCAAGCTGTGATGAGTTTTACATAAACCCCTAAAATACACAAGACTGCAATATTGATTTAGACAATGTTTTATTTCAGGACCAGATCCAGTTGCTGAAGCAATACAGCAATTAATAGCTGTACAGAGCCAGATTCTCTTGGCTGAGAACAGAAGAGTAGAGATTGAGGAGGAGAAGCTAAAGCTGCTCAGGGAATTTGTACATGTTTCTCCACTTAATGGCCAAAATGTATCCCCCATAATAAAATTCTTTTGATCATGACAAAAGCTGTGTAATTTATTTTTTTTGTATAATATGAAATTATATTAAGTCAGGACTGTCTAGTAATACAGAGTAGAAAGTCACTTACATCTCATGATTTATATTCTTGTGTTTATTATAAATGATGAAAACAATAGCATAAGGCTGTAATTTAAGTGAACTTATGCAAAATTAATTGATGTCTTGCTGACAGTCCATCACAACCAGAGCTTGTTGTTGGGAAGTCAGCTGCACATGGCAACTCTGTGGCAGTTCCCTCTCCTCTGAGTAGCTCAATGCCCTGGGGAAGTAGCAGTCTTTCATTGATGAACATGTTATGCAACAAGAAACAAGCCCGGACAACACACATACTCCTTTCTGGGGTGAATTGTAAGACACCAGTTGTCTTGTGAAGGCATCTGGAAATGTGATGAAACACATTTTCTGTATTATAAGTTATTTTCCCAACTTCTTCACAGACGCCTGTTAGACAGGCTATGAAATTGTTCAAAAATTAAGTTGATAATGTTTTTTAACAATTCTTTTGAAATACTACAACAACTTAAAAAAGCTCAATTTGTGATAAGAAGTAACTCCATTTTATTTTTTTTCAAGTTTTCAACAATGATACCATGAATAGATACTATTACATGTTTTCCTCTTGTAACTGTACCTTCAATATTTAACTATTTCACTTACAATAATTTCTTAGTTACATTACCAACTTACTGTTGCCACTTAAAACTGTACCTAAATCTTGACTTGCACAAGCCAAATGCTCTCTCTATTGTGTTCCGTGTCTTGATATAGCCTCTATTGTATTTCTCCTGTCCTTTCGAGCTGGGATTGAGCACAGGTCAGCAGCCATGGTCTGCAGGCATATCTGTAACATAAGTAATAAGGATAACACTATATCAAAACAGGTCATCAAAATGTTATCAATATTTTATTAAGTGCAGTTTTGTCAGATTTGTTTATCACACATTGTAAAATTCAACTGTATTTAGCAAATGTAAGTGAAGTTCAGGTATATACGTTGTAGTTTTATTTACCCAGAGTCTGCAAGTAGCCATCCATCAATATTCTTCTTTTCAAAGTGCTGACCAAGGGCAGAGTTATTCCATATGTAACTATCATGGACAGAGCCAGGCCACTTGAAGACACAGTTTGTAAATCTGAGAGAAAAAAATAACAATTTATATCCATATAAATCCAACAGAAATCCAGTATTTAAAATGCACATGCATAATTTTATAAAGCTCATTTACGTATTTAGTTATTTAATGTATATATAGAGAGATCTACATCTGCCTACAAATAAACACTATTAATTCACATTTTAATTATGGAAGAGTTTTACTACATGGAAACAATGGAAATTTGAAAACATTATCACAATGGATTCATTTTTACTGGTATGCATCATGACTTATCTCGCCCAAAACGTTACCTAGGGGGCGCAGCATGCGTCAATGTCAAGGACATCTATTTCAAGTGTAATGTTTCCATTTTGTCGTGCCTTTTTCAAGAGGAATAGGAATAAATGATTCATGCTAAAAGACATATCTACCATGTGTGTATGTATCTCGCCTCATGTTGCATCACATCCTGCCTGTATGTTCAGTGCATGGTAACCCTTCCGACAAACGTAGGCTACTTCATCACGTTTTGGCGCCATTATGGGTACGAGTGTGCAGTCAATTGCACCGAGTACTTTAGGGAATCCAGCTATGTCGAAGAATGATTCTTTGGTACTCTTCTGAGTGGAATCATTGTGGGAAATACAAAATCACCCATGGTTGCACATAATGCGTCTGTTGTTACGTGGCTTGCTCTGCTGACGGAGGATTTACTCACACCGTGGATATCGGCAATCTCACTGTAAAACCCACCCTTGGAGAAGTATCTCAGAGCAATTAAAACATTAAGGTAAGGTGGTATTACATGGGAACGCTGGGTTAGATGTTCAAGTCTGTCACTCACTTTACCAATAATAGAAAATATCATATGTACCTCTCGATGATGTCATCTCTTTTGGCAATTTCGTCCGTGTTTGGATTGTTCGACATCTTTATCGCTTGCGTAAATATTTACACCACCCTAAGACCATACGTAGAGTTTACGCCAATTTTACACGGACGTCATATTACACTAGCTTTGTGAAACGCTCCTAGTTCAGTATTTCCGAGTTACGCCAGATTTACACGCACGTAAGACTTACGACTGCTTTGTGAAACGGTACCCTGGTGTGTTAATCATAACCCCACTTCCAGCATTTCAACTTCCACTGAGAGCATTTGATCAAACCGGTGTTGATTTTGCAGGACCTCTCATCACAATACAAGGTAGGGGAAAACAACAAGTTAAACGCTACCTTCGTCTCTTTAGAGGCCTGGCAACTAGAGCTGTGCACCTGGAAATGGTGTATGGTCTTGATAGCGACTCATTCCTAAATGCCTTTTACAGAATGGTCAACCGTCGAGGCTTGTCATGTGTAGTGGATTCAGATAACGGGACAAATTTCACAGGAGCCGTCAAAGAGCTGAAGCAACTTGTAGACAAACTTGATGAGGATTTCATTAAAACCTCCTTGGACAAGGAGTTACTTGGAAGTTTAACCCACAATATTCACCACATTTTGGGGGTGCTTTTGAAGCAATGATAAAGTCTTCCAAACAAGCTATATATCCGATCCTTGGCAATGGCGACACCACTGATGAAGAACTTGTGACTGCCTTTACCGGAGCTGAATCGTTGATCAATTCAAGGCCTTTAACTTAACAAAGTTGACATCCTCGTGATGACATTCCATTAACTCTTAATCACTTTCTTCATGGTCAGTTGGGTGGAATATTTGCTCCTGAGTCGGTTGATAAGATAGTGTTCAATCCGACGAAAACGTTGGTGAAGAGTGCAAGAACTTGTACGCCACTTTTGGAAACGGTGGATGTCTAAATGGCTTCCTTCTCTACAAGAAAGGAAGACGTGATCTGGAAGCAGATGACGTCATTCTGGTTATCTCCCCTCAGTCACTTAGAGACAGTTGGATCACCGGACGAATCATAAAGACACATCCAGGAAGAGATGGACACGTTCGAGTTGTCGACATACAGACCAGTAAGGATGTTGTGACAAGACCAGTGACAAAAGTGTGTCCACTGGAATTGAATGGAATGGAACGTTCAAATGACTGCTTTGTTTTTCAGGAAATGTGTGGACTTTTTATGAACAGTTTAGTTGCATATTAATTCAAATATAAATGTACATATGCTATTTTGTGACTGATAGCTAATAAGTGAAATGATAGACTGGAATCTATCATTTGGAGGGGGAATGTTCTGGAGAACTATGGCCAGGAACTTGAAATGTTCGCACTTGATTGGAGTTTGTGAAAACTGGGAGCATTCGTACGAACGCTGAGTGCTTCGCGTATTTTGTAGCTCGTGGGAATCGTGGGGCACGTGAAATTGACCATGTATATCTTAAGCTTTGTGAAAATAAGGTCAGTTCGAAAAACACTGCGTAACATATCGTTTTTGTCTTTGTCGGTTTTAATACCAAACGTTTTTGCACAGCAAATACAAACATTTTGCATTTCTATCTAATTTAATTCAGGTCTCCAACATTTTTTTAAATGACACATCGTTGGCTCTGTCGTTTCAGACGTACCAGAAAACTATGATCGCGTGTTCGAATCCCAGCACCATAAACCATACATCGCTTAGGGATTTCCTCCAACAACAAGCTGACACGCTGTGAAATAACTGAATTTGTTTTCAAAGCGGCGTTAAGTCACGTGGTCACGGGGAGTCCTTGGAAGGGTGACCGTGTTCGGCTGCTTGGCTCCTGAGAGGGCCTCGGTCCTGCCCAACACTCAAGCACATGTGGTGTCTCTTCTTGCACGTCACAGGTAGCTTAGGTCGTATATATACTCCCCTTGGATATGAGAAAGAGTGGGGTAAGAATGTGTTTTGAGCATGATATTCAGCATTAAAAAAGTGGCATACAAATGAAATATTATTATTATCATTATTAGGGCTCCAAGCCGAAAGGCTGTAGAGCCCTATTGTAATCGTTCGATTTATTATTTATTATTTATTATTCCGCCGATTTTTGTACCAGAGCTAGCAAAATAACCACTGGCTCGATTATGTTCAAATTTTGTATGTGTGTGGAGACCGGTGAGTACTAGATTCCACCGTAGGCCCAAAGGCCAAGGGCAGATAACTAACAAACAAGAATTCTTTGAAGATGTATTTCGCCCTATTGCTCCGTAACCGCTTATCCGATTACTTGGAAACCTTGCATGTATCTGCTGCTTGAGCTGCTTGACATTTTTTGTTCTTTGACTTTGGTCATTGGTCACGTGGTTTGGCAGCCACATTGGGTTCAAGGGTTTCACAGTTTTTAGTTGCGGCCATATTGGATTTTGATTTTAATCATTTTTTTTCACCATGGAAAAAGTAACACCACTTGGTGGTAATATTTGATAAATATTTGGGACACCCCTGGAACACGCCAATTTCGTAGCGGCAATGTCCTGCAAACGGTGACTATCTTTTGACAGAGTTGGTACAAACAAACCCTTTGAGGATTCGAACATGTTCGATGTCGGAAATGGGTTTAGAACAGACTTAGCACACGACAATTTCGTAGCGGCGATACCCTGCAAGTTGTGCCTACATGTGACGGATTTGGTACAAGGAAACCCTTTGAGGATTCGAACATGGACGTTTGTGCACAGTATAACTTGGAGCCCACCATTCCTGCTTTGCAGCTATATTTTTTTTATTATTAATACTATAAACTCAGAGCGACGGTAACCAATACTCAGTCACTAATTTCACAACAATGTATTTGCGATGTCTATATTTGAATCATATATACTTAATCTTAAAAATACTTAAAAATTCAGTAAACCGACGATCCTTTAAGTCACAGACTTAGCTCATTCACGGACGTATGTATGCACATTTGTAATTGTTCGTCCATTGGGCGCATTCTTCTATACACAT